AAATGTGCAAGAGTTCATGGGTCAAACACGCTGACCAAGCGCTTGCTCACAGGTCTGCACAAGACGACTGGGCAACAGTCGCTTCTGAGCATCAGCCTTGAGCCTGAACCAGGTCACCCGTGTCCTCTCTTGCATTGGGCCAGCATCGCACAATTCAATCTGCCCTAACAATCCAACAGGCAAATAAAGTACAACACGGTTACCACCGAGGAGTAAGCTGAGACTAAACTGTTAAGATTTTCAGGGTGGTTTTTTAAAACAAGGAAAGATTATTATATTACAAAAAGACAAGTTATTGATATGAAAAGTGGCAAGTGAACTGCGGAGGGGGGCATTAAGGGACGTACACATCAGAGAAACCTTTACACACCGTGCGGCTGAAAGACTTACCCAGTGCTTCAGATCTGATCTAGGTTGCTGCTGAATTGGAAAATGAGAAGTATCAGCTCAGAAAACTAAACAATTAAAAACAAAACAAAACAAAAACCCAAACTGTTTAGAAGATCTTTTGCAGAGAAGTTGTCCACATCCAAAACACCATCAAATCACCTTAGGAACCAAAGACAGTAACCAGATTCTCCAACAGTGTTTGTCTGCACAGCTTCTGGAACACCCTGGTTACTCCTCCCTTTCCCTTCCCTGAGATCCTGACTCTGGAACATTCAAATGAAGGGAAGGATGGGGAAGAAAAGGAGGCAGGAAGGATGCACTGAATCTGCTGGTAACCTAAACCCTCCTGGAGCTCTGCGGCTCAGGGAGGAGGAGTGTTCAGAAGCACAGTTAACCGAGTGGCAGCGACACTCTAAAGGAAACATTCCACCTTCTGTTCCTTGGGAGCGTAGCAGGGAGACCAGAGCAATGCAAGTCCATTTTTAAGTTATACAATTGTAACGTTCTTGCAAAGTTTCACTTATGATCGAAAAAAAACAGTGAGGAGATAAAAGATCCCCCAGATGGTTTTACTTTGGGGCGGGGGGGCGGGGGGACAGGAAAAAAAAACCAAACACCAAACAAATCCCCAGTGCTGCAACAGATAAGGCTACCGAGAAAGGATTAGCAGATTTGCCAATGCTTTTGGCTGTACAGAAGCGCGCAGAGGAACAGGTTTTTACGGCATCTGGACTACAACCAAGAAGCCAAACACCAGCGATGTAATCAACTTTTGGAGGACATGCTGTGCTCAGGCCTTTGGAAGGAAATTGACACTTTTCTTTTTTTTTTTTAAAAAGAGAATGAAACAACTTGTCGCTGATGACTTCCACTGCCAAGCACGTTATGAGGGCTGGAGCACCTTCCCTATGAGGACAGGCTGAAAGAGTTGGGGTTGTTCAGCCTGGAGGACACTTAATAGCAGCCTTCCAGTACCTGAAGGGGGCTACAGGAGAGATGGGGAGGCACTCTTTATCAGGGAGTGTAGTGAGAGGACAAGGGGTAATGGGTATAAGCTAAAAGAGGGTAAATTTAGACTAGACATTAGGAAAAAATTTTTGACTATGAGGGTGGTGAGACACTGGAACAGGTTGCCCAGGGAAGCTGTGGATGCCCCATCCCTGGAGGGGTTCAAGGCCAGGCTGGATGAGGCTTTGGGCAACCTGGGCTGGTGGGAGGTGACCCTGCCCATGGCAGGGGGTTGGAACTTAATGATCTTTAAGGTCCCTTCCAACCCAAACCATTCTATGATTCTATGATCTCTGAGGATCCACTCTGACGGGAACCGCATAAAATGCAACTTCCTTGAATGAGAAAGATTTCCATTTTGGAAAATCTCTTTCCAACTGAAGTCAAAATCGCACGCTGCAGGTTAAGGACAAAGGACACAGCTCCTGGTGCCAGCAGGAGACCTTCACAGGCCTGAGTCTTCTCGCTCTGCCTTTGCCCCATCCTCCTCCTCTGTGCCGCCTGCCCGACCCTCACCCACTCAGCAGCACGCAGCAGATGCCTCAATGCTCCGAACCTGCACAGCTTCCTCAATACCTGGCAGCTCACATACGTAGACGGAGGCACTGAGCTCCCAGCACCACATGGAAAAAAGATGTTAAACAATGCTCATCTATAGAAACGCCTTTGTTCTATGTTACCTACAGGTAGATGCAGCCACTACACAGCCATGCATACTTCAGTTCTCAGCCAAATTAAGCCAGATTCTTTTTATTACTTTCCCTTCTGTGAACCTTCTTTACTCAGGATTTTCCTAGGAGGCACCTCTATTGTGTCTGTGTAACATAATTAAGATGCATTTGCTGTGCATCCTTATGGGTGGGCTGTAGGCACAGAAAAAAAGTCTCAATTAGAACGGTGAAATGAAATCTCCTGCTATTAACTATCACACATTTGTTAGCACATAAAATATATTTAATTAAAACCAAAACATCAGACACTGGATTGATGAAGTTCCATGCAGCAGAGATTTCACTGGTGTGCTGGCTGTGGCGGACACCTGTCTGCACCAGGTGAGCAGAAAGCACTTTGGGAGACCAGCAAGTACTCCAGATGCAAATGCTGTCACAGATAAAGTGCTATCTGGTTCCTTCCGTTTCAGGAAGTCACAGTGGCAGATGGCCAAGTGTGCAGTCAGTTGGATACTAGACCTTCCACTCATCATCAACAGACACTGCAGGAAGAAAGGTACAGACACATCAGAGGAAGCTGTTCACAGATAGAAGACTTCATGCATGGTTCCATCCAAGTTTCTTTACGCTGTTCCTTTACTCTGAACTCCATTACAAGGGAACCCAAAGGCTCTGTTTCTGAAGGTCTCATTCACTTGGGTTGCTTCTTCTCTGGTATTTCATCCGCGTCTCTTGCATAAAGTTTCTGAAGGCTGGTTCCTCATGACTCTCCTCAGTAACTAGGGGGAAAAATCCACAGTTCAGCACTATTTCAGCACTTGTTCTCTTGTTTTACTGAAAAAAGCAAGAGTTGGGCTAGTCAGAGCAACACATAAAGTCTACTTGATCTTCAACTTCATTACAAGGCAAAAGAAACAAAGTGATCGTAAAAATCAGTGGGACAGGGAAGATTAAGTCTGCAAGCTATATAAGAGAAAAATCACACACTGTAAGAGCTGAGAAGATTGCTCCAGGACCAGGAGTCACAGGAAAAGCGAAGAGAGCCGAGGCAGAAACTGTAAGGCCAAAAAGGTGATGGAACATATTGTGCGTTCATCAGGTCAAGAGGTCACTGCATGCTCCAAGCACAACAAGTTGTCTGGTTCATGCATGTTCTACACCTATTAAAAACAATTACTTGAGTGGAAAATTTACAATTGAACTTTGACAGATCACTGGACTAAGCATTGCAGATGGGCTTCTGCTACAGATTCAGACACCGATACTTAGGTGACTGAACGTTTGCTTGTTTTCTAGGCTCTCATAGTCAATGCAGTTAATGAAACACAGAGGGTATTTCCTGACTAGACAGGCAGCTTTTAGACCCAATCAGACCCCTCATGCCCTTACCTTCGTGGTCGATGTCATCAGTATCACTCTCCCTCTCTTCGTCTTCATCATCAAGAGTTCCTCGTGTCAGGATCAGCTCAGAAGGACCCATTGCAGAAGCATCATCAGGCCCTCGAAGGGAACAGAAATGGCCACACATAAAACAGCACGTAACAGGTGAGTCAGCTCATGCCCTGACAACTGCTATTTATGCATAAGCGCAGCAATTGACACCTACACTAAAGGGACAGAAAGCCACTTCTGGATTCCAAAGATACAGGACAAACTGCATCAGCACCACACTCAACCTCATGTGAGGCAGCAGCTCAACCAACAGCAGAGCTTTCTCGTATTCCAATTTGACTGTTTCACCTTTTCTAAAGGATTTCATTACTTCTAGTATGTCCACTGCTGTATCTGTGCAGCAGGGTCTCTTCTCCTCGTGTCTGCGACTGACACACAGAAGAGCTAAGTCTGACCCATCCCACAGGAACTGAAGTCCCACTCCTCTTTACTAACATGAAGCTGCTTTCACACTTTTGCTGCTCCTATATGACTTCTCGAGGCAGACTCTTCAGACAACTTCTGCAGCAAACCTCATCTTCCCAGTAAGGTACCTGCAAGTGTGTTGCCCTGCACACACACACTGCCCATGTCCTTCCACAAGTGCTCCAGCTGCTCTCTCTTCTGTTTATTTTGAGCTTTCTCCTGTAAGTGCAAAGTTACGTGTGGATTCTGAGTACATTTAAGACATCAGCAGTACTCTCACCCAATGCTAGCAGCCTGTTCCCCGGTCAGACAGCAGAAGTCGATAAGTAGGTCTTGCATTACAACCAAGGTTACACAGAACTTTTGGATAATCATGGAAAGCAACCTCCAGCATGATGGACTTCAAGAACATTTTCAGCAGCACTAGGAAGCCAAACTCAGTGAAGCTGTGCCTGCAGAGAACTGTCCTTCGGACAGCCAGAACTCAAGGTGAGCACAGCTACTGATTTTGGTGCTGTAATTCAGTCTTCATTATTAATTGTCTAAGTCAATACAGTACAGTTCACTGGTGTGGAAAGATACAGTGATATTCTCAACAAATCACCCTGGAAAGATATTTTTTAAAAAGTCTCTGTCCTTCTGAATGGAAGATATAAATATCGTTCCTAATAATTTTCTCATAATTTGCCCAAATAAATTATTATCACTAAAACACTGGAAAATATCTGTTTTATAAAACATCTTTATTTTCATGAAGATATGCTCCACCAAATGTAGGAAAAACATACAAATGGTGAGCTTCAGGACAGGAGTTTCTCCACACTGAGTGTAATGAAATGTTAGACCCTCCCAACATAGAAGCAATTGTGTGCATGAAAGTGACACAAAGATGTGCTGCCCAAGTACACACTTAAAAATACTTACCAGTGTTTTCCTCAAGCGCTCATATTCTGGACGATATTCTCTGAAAAGATAAATTAAGAAAGTGCATTAGTCTGAACTAATACATGATCTATGTTAAGTAAGGATCATCTTGGAGGCTTGTTTCTAACTCAGAAACTGTCATGTTTGAGAGACATTTCAGAAAGACTAACGGTACTTGTTACCCAGATTTGGATTCTGAAGCCAATGGATGCAAATAAGTGAACATACTTCATTGAAATAGCAAAACCTTTCTCACCCCGTCGTGTTGGACAGGAAACCAGCTCGACCGAGGTAGTCATTTCACTGCTACACCTCACCAGCAGATCTACCACTCTCCTCTAATCACAGACACAATCACAGACTTTCTCTGCCAGTACTTGTGGCTCCTAAGACAGTGCCATGGGATCTCATACAGACTTCCAAACTAGTGTACCACTACGGATCTTTGAAATATTTCTTTAATGAAGTAAGGACAAAGTGGATGTGGATACCCTCTTCTTAGAATCACAGAAGGGTTTGGGTGGGAAGGGACCTTAGAGCCCATCCAGTGCCACCACCTGCCATGGGCAGGGACACCTCCCACTAGCCCAGGTTGCCCAAAGCCTCATCCAGCCTGGCCTTGAACCCCTCCAGGGATGGGGCATCCAACAGCTTCTCTGGGCAAGCTGGGCCACTGCCTCACCATCCCCATCGTAAAACATTTCCTCCTTAAGTCCAGTTATATCTCCCCTCTTTCAGTTTAGAACCATCACCCCTTGTCCTGTCACTACAGACCCTACCAAAAAGTCGCTGTCTGTCTCTCTCATAAGCTGCTTTATATACTGAGTGGCCACAAAAATGTCTCCCCGGAGCCTTCTCTTCTGCAGGATAGCAGAGCAGAGGGGGAGAATCCCCTCCCTTGCCTGTTCACGCTGCTGGTGATGCCCCATGACACAGCTGGCTTTCTGGGCTGCCAGCGCACACTGGTGGCTTCTACGAAACCTTTACCTAGGGTCTCATTACGCAGGCTGCGTAGCCTGGAATAACGGTTTGGTTACGTGGTGGAACTCCTCAGCACCTCCAGAGCGCGGCGAGCAGGCGGAGAGGGGGAGGTAAGCACAGATCATACCCTGCCCAGATACTCCTGGGCCCATCAGACCGTCAAAGACGCGTCTCAAGAAGCCCAGAGGAGCACAGGGGCGCGGCGGCATGCAGGGAACCCCAACTATGACTTGGAGGAAGGTACGCCCTGCCCCGGCCCCTCCCAGGGGGAGAACCGTCACTCCATGGCCCAGGTGTGAAGCCCATCGTGGGAGCTCCGGATCACCTCCTGAGCACCGAGGGTGGCTGCCTCGGGGCATGGGACAAAAAAGCACGCCGGGCAATATTTTCTAGGGATGGCCCTGATTTATTGTGGGACGTTTAGGGAGGAACCAATGGTGGGGAAAGGGAGGAATTTACGAGATTCGGGGAGGAACAAGTGTGGGAAATAGAGGGACAAGGGAATAAAAGGGTTTATGCGCATGTAACAGAGACTAGACAGTGTGCAGACCCAGACCAATCAGATCTGGAAGCACGAAGCTGCAGCAGCCTCTCTCTGTCTATCCAATCCAGCACGATGTATTTTCCCCTAACAATAATCTATGGTCTGGTTTAGGTATTCCCCAGTAATCCAAGTTACTGGATTGTTACTGAGCAGCCTGGCAGTATTTCATGGGGAGGAATCCAGCAAGGAGCAGATTCTCAAAGAATTACTGAATTTCAATTTGCTCATCTATTCAGTCTGCCAAACTGATCCATTAGCTTCCTGAGGACAATTCAAACCTGAACCATTGTATGGAATGGGAGGAAAAAAAATGACCTCTCAGATTTGCTGGCACAGATAGCTTTTACTTTTTCACTGAACCGTTAGCACAAAAATTCACCACTCATGAGTTCCTTTTGACTGCTGCTTTTTATGATGACTCTTGCACTTATTCTTGCACTAAGTTAATTAGAAACTCTAGACTACCTTGCCTGTGAAAAGTGAACAGTCCTTCAAATCAAAGGAGTGGGCTTATGAATCAGCAACTTCAGCAAGGATTCACTGGGTCAGGGACCAAAGGTTATCACCTTACCTCTCATATTCATCTACAGCTTTAGAAAGCTGAATAAAAAAATCATCCAGTCCTGTGCCGAGCATAGCAGAAACACCAACCACCTATAAAAGAAAACCATACACCACAACTGAAGAGGAACTGAACCAAGATTTCAGGTTAACTGAAGGATGATCAGAGCTGGAGAGACTAAGCAGTATCTCAAAAAAAAAAAAAAACAAACCCAAAAAAAAACCCAAAAGACAAAAAGCTAACTAAACTAAAAAAAAAAAAATAGTGGAATCTAGCAATACCTATTTAATCATCACAGAGCCATAAGAGCATGCAGAAATACTTCTTCTGTCATTCCTACTTTCAACCTCTTTCTCCACCTGCTGTTAATGTTTGCTACCTCCAGTTTTTGGGGATTTCTTTCTTTCTCTTTCTCCCTCTCTCTCATTTAACTCAGGAACCTGGGTTTTCCTGTCTGTTTTATAAATTCAACAGTTTAAAAAAAAACAACAAAAAAACCCCCAAAAAACCCCTGACTCCATACCCACCCTTGTACCTCCAATCTCAATACCCCACAAAAAAAATCATAGTTAAGACAATACAATGCCTAAACATAATGAATAAAATTGGGCAATTCAAATGAAAGATCAAGTCTTTTTTCTGTTTACTTGGTTATTGTTAATAATCCAAGCTCTCATTCTGAACCTAGTGTTATAAGTGGTTAGTATAACTGTTGCAATGTCAGTGTCCTAGAATTAAAGAGCAAAATAGCCCACAAGAATGGACATTTTGCCTCTGAAGCTCTAATACTTTGTATTTCGCTGAAGCACATTTTAAAAGGTACCTAATCCAACCCGCAGAACAGCAGGAGATGGAGAATTTAACCAGTTACTATGGCAATACATTCAAAATACACATCTGCTTTCTAATTTGAACTTGTCTGTCATTACACTTCTGCTTTTATCGAATCAATTATCTAAAAATGCCTTTAATTAAGACTATTACTAGCCAGTACTTGGTGACCTTTAAGAATCTTTCATCCTCTAATGAAAATACTCCCTCTTTTTCATAAGCAAGACAGTCTTAACTACTCACTTTCAAATGTGAGACTCCTTCCAACACAGCCTTGCATTTTGTCAATGGCACAGTAAATACGCAAACAATCGAGCATTCCAAAGGATTTTAAGCATTAGTCTAGGCTCTGTGCCAATATATTAATATTTATAGTTTCATTGCACTTAAGTACAAGCTGCCTCTCCTACTCCACAATCCCCTGCATGTATGCTGCTCTCTGGCACACTATTCTAACAGATACGACATGGACACGAGCAGCTGATTAGCAAATAAGGATGAGGAAGTACTTCAGTCCTGCATGTGGCAACACTACAATCCATTTTGAAATACTGTATGTTGTTCCACATAGGGCACTTGCATTATTTTTGTTTTGGCTAAATGATTGTTATCTGTACGAATGGAATAATTTATTTTCACTGCCTTTCTTGTAAAAGTGATGAAGAACACAATTAGCTGAACCCTTTTAGCACAGACCATGGGATCACTAACATCCTGTAATGTATAGTGTTTTCAGAGAAATTGAATGGATTTGTCCTCCCAAGCAGCAAAACAAACACTTTTTCTCACATCAGCAAATATACAGGATTTTTGTTTGTTTGTTCTTGAGATTCTTTCCCTTCCTCCTACACAGTAAATTGCCCAACTGTACTTGACACTTTCAGAACAAGGGAAATTATCTCAGATGGAAGACACCGCAACACAGAACATTACCTCTCACCAGCCTATCTTTGCTTTGTCTGATAATTAATCACAATTCAGCATGATTCAGGCTGACACTCAGTGTGACAAGCATTAAAGTTACTTTATGTTCAAACCAGCAAATCCTTGCCCCCAGTGCAAGGCTCATGGGCAGTGCAAAGCCCTTTTACAGAAGGAGAGAATGGATGAGGTTGGAAGATACCTCTGGAGATCATCTAGCCCAACCTCTCCTGCACAAAAGCCAGGATTAACTAGAACAGGTTGCTCAACATCTTGTCTGACTATGTTTTGAGTATCTCCAAGGATGGAGACCCCACAGTTTCTCTGGACCATCTGTTCCAGTGCTCAATCAGTAAAGTTACAGTAATTCTTTTTCCCTCTTCTGTTTAAACACAGTTTGCTGTATTTCACTTCACGTCTGTTGTCTCTTGTCCTTCCACCATGCACCACTGCCTCAGTCTTCCTTACATCCTCCCATCAGGTATTTATACACATCAATATCCTCCTTGAGCTTTTTCTCCTTCAGGCTTTTATGAAAGGAAGTAAAAAAGGGAAGATTCTTACCTTCAGTGAACTGTAAAATTCATCCAACACTAAACTCATAGAACGAGTCAGGTTACTGACATAGGATGTCTCTTGATTCAGGGCATCCTGAAAAGTCTCAAAGTCCTGCATCCATTCTACTGCAAAACTGTGGTCAATTATGTCCGTCTGGAAGGAGAAGAGAAAATTTTCACAAGTAATAATGATGAATTCTTAGCCTTAGGCAGTTAAGCGGACAAATAAAAAAATTCCATTTTAAACTTACTTTCAAAATGCTTATCTTTCCAAAATATTCAGCCCTGGTCTGAAGTTTTCCAAGCTCTGTTTTTATCAAACCAGCCACTTGAATACAAGAAGAAAATGCAAACAACTGCTGCCCCATTTTTAAGAAGGCACGTTTAAGGAAACAACTACAAGTCTAAAGCCTTCTATGGTTTACTGGAAAAGGGCATTAAAAAAATTGCATACTGTATGCATTCTGCATACAAGAAAGTTTAAGTTGTAAATGTTAGCCCGCATGATTGAGGCCAGACAAGAACAGTCCTGACTGAAGATCCCATCCTTTCTGGATTGGCTTGGGGGCCAGGGAGGAGTGGGAGCCATTTCCATGTTGGGTAACAGCCTACAAGCGAGCTGTGCTCTGACCTGAGGAAATCATAATCTAAACACAGTGCAAGACGATGCACACGAACAGGTGAGACGGTTCCATAATTCTGCATGGATTAGTATGCAAACAGTCTACTAAAGAGTTTTATAAACATATCTTACCACCTGTCTATCCACTAGTATCACAATACAGAGTTGACTAAAACAAGGAGGAAAACAGATAAAGCAAGTATTGCCTAGCATTACTCAAGAGATTCGAGACAGGACTGAATCTACCAAGGCTCAAAGCCTGACTCTTTAGAGTTAGCTTGATTACATTCTATAAATAAAATTAAATCAACTCTACAAGTTACATTATTTTTTTCCTTCACAAATCTTAACATTCCTTAAATCCATGTGATTGTCACTGCACATATAGCAGTTCCTTGGGATTCTTCCATTCTTATCAAAAGTCAATTTTAAAACGCTTGTCAAAAATTCTTCAGATACTGTCAGCTTTACTTTTTACCGAAGGCTAAACATCAGGTCAAAATGAAGTTTAAAGTTATGAATCCTAAGCCTTGGTCCTACCTTTCCTTACATATACTGATGAAGTTGCACTTCTTTCAGTCTTTCAAGAAATGTATTTTCTTAAGAGAGAATTATTTTCCTACCTCATGCCTTTTTCTACAGAAAAAGCTTAACAGCTTATTCTAAAATTACTGTCCAGATTTAGAAAGAAAATGGTGTTCAAAAACTTTCTACGTAAGCAAGCAGATATCAAAGACATGCACAGTTTGGGTCACTAGGAAGACGTGTGTAGCTGGAGTATATGAGACACAAACCCTGCTCAGCTGGTGTGAGGTACAATCTCACATTCAGAGCAGGACAGCTTTCTAGAGGAAGCATATCGGATATACGTTCATGCACACAGAAAGCTTGCGACACTGGGGGGCAATTCCTTGAATACAAAGGACGTCGGTGGGGAAAAGGGAGAATACTCACACCAAAAATCTAATGGGATTCTTTTAATATGTGAAATTGTTATGTTTAAAGAGATGGCTGGTTGTTCAAAAGCATTCCTTTAAGACTATCAGTACCTTCCACAACAGTGGAGGTGTATCCTTAGGCTAGTAAGTATCCGCTTTCTGGAAAATAACCCGTGTATTTTTAGTGTTACTGATCAGGACCAAACACCTTTCGTTAAGTTTTGCCTGCTACAATACATGGGACTCCTTCCTCAAAACAGGCAAGTGTTACACAATTCCCATGGTGAGTCACCAGCCTGAGTAGAAATAATTAATGATTAAGACAATCGTTCTGAGAAAGTAGGGGACTGTAAGAGCTGATTCAATAATGAACTTACCTTTAGGTTACAAATTAAGTTTCCTTACAGCCTAGGGTTAAGGTGTAAAACATTTTTCAAACTGTTAGTATCATCTCTAACTTGAATGTTTGGGTGTAACTGCCCAGCCCTGATTCTTCTCGTGCATTTGCATACCAAAGACCCCTTGTAGGTTCAGCTTCCAGCCTGCAGTTCCCTCACAGCCTCTTTTCTAGAAAACCAATTATTGTGGTAAAACAAAGACACTACAGCAAAGCAAGCTAAACAGAACAATGTTCCACTAGGACACAGAAAACACAGCTTTAACTTACTTTGTTCATGACAACAATGAATGGTAGCTTTGTCTTGTACAGGATACTGGGGGGAAGGGAGGGGAACAAAAAAAAACCCACACACAAAAAAACATTAAAAATTAATTCAAATATCACTAGAAAAGAAAACAAGTTAAGTGTAAGGCAGGCAAGATTTGTGCAAAACTGAATAAACTTTACTTCAAAAGATAATTATTTTCCTCCACATCAAGTAGAATGTCATTTTCACCCAGATCCTGCTTGTCATAGGTGAACAAAATATGTCCCCCCCCAAGATGCAAATGCATGTCTGTAAGACATAAAATCTTCTGCACTCCCAGATTATTTTCATTACTATTTTCTACGACTCTTAGATCCCAGTTTTTAACTCTCCGCATTTTCTAATTATTTTGACCCAAACCTTAGGTTCTAAGATATTATTTGTGAACTGAGCAATTAATTCAAATAACTCAAAACATCTATAAAGCAACACTACCTTGAAATGTGAGCTTACATATTCATTTCACTGTATGCATTCTAGTATCTTTTGCTCAACACCAATGTCAGAAAACGCAGCATGTAATAAGACATATTTTGCATACTCCTACCACAGGGATATAACGGATATAACCTTGGTACCAGATTGATAAATCTTTTTTTTTTTTTAAACTTTTTCCCAACATTCACCATGATTTATGACAGCTCTAGATATGTTGGTTGATCTTTACATAGGTATTTAGTCCCTGGTTTAACATGAAAGAAAACAGATAAATCATGTACAAGAAGGAAGACAATAAATCAAGAACTCCATACTATGCTGAGTTCCAAACAAATCTTGAAGAATCACTGAAAGTATCAATAATATTTAAAAAATAAAATAAAATATGTTTACAAGAAGGAATTTAAACTAGGCTATCTTGATACATCTTAGATAAATGATTTTATAAGCAACAGGCGGTGTCTTAGATCTGATGTAACTAGCCTTCATCACACTAAGGTCTCAC